GATTTTGGGGGGGTTTTGGGGGGGTTCCAAGTGGGAAAAAGGGCGAGAGGCAAAGCCAAGGTCATGGCCTTGGTGGTGGGCACCGGCACCTTTCACCCAGATCCCAAAAATGGGCCGGGGGTGCTCCCAGAGCAGGGCCAAAAAAAGGCAGGAGAGCAGCTCCTGCCTCAGTTTCCCCACTCTGCCCCCAGCTTGGTTTTTTTTTCACTTTCCCTTCTTTGAATTGTTTTTTTGCTCAGCTTTTTTGCTTTTTCTTCCACTTGGAGAAAACAGGAAACCTCCCCGAGGCTGCTCCCAGAAAAATCAGAGAAACTCCCCCAGGGCTGCTCCCAAAAAAATCCCAGAAACTCCCCCAGGGTTGCTCCCAAAAAAATCCCAGAAACTCCCCCAGGTTTGCTCCCAAAAAAACCCCAGAAGCCACCCCAAAAAAACCCCATAAATTGGTTTTTCAAGTATTTTTGAAAATAAATAATGTCACTCCTGATTCCAAAGGGGCTCCTGCCATCCTCCCACCCCTGAGAGACACAACACAAGGGAACCGTTTCATTTATTTATTACAAGTTTATTACAAATTTCGCCCCCCAGGGGCCACGAAAAGGTACAAAATTTGCATTTTTGTGCTTTCCCCCCCTCCCCTGAAACGCTATTTACAAAACCAGAGTACAAAAGGTCGTGACAGCAGCTTTGTGTCACAACAGGACGGAGTCACCGAGCGTCCCCCTCCCTGGGCGGGAGCACGGGGCAGCCAGAGCAGCACCCAGTCACGAAATTAAGATGGAATTAATTAAAACCACCATTCCCTGTCACAACATGCCACCACAGGGCAAGGACGGGCAGCGTGCGTCCCAACAGCCACGAGGATTCCCAGCTGGATCTGCCTTGTCTCCCCAACAGTCCTTGAGGGGTTTTTTTTATCCCCTCGAGATGGGGATGCAGCAATTCCTGGGGATGCAGCAGTTCCTGGGGATGCAGCAGTTCCCGGGGATGCAGCAGCTCCCAGGGATGCAGCAGCTCCTCGGGAGCCCCCTCCAGGTGTTCTCCCAGATGTGCTGCAGGTTTGGAGTCCAGGCGAGCGGGATGGACCCGCGCTGTGGCTCTCACTGCACGTTGTTGTTGTTGTTGTTGTTGTTGTTGTTACCACACGGATCCACCTGGCCCACGGAGCAGGAGGAGGGTGAGGGGTGCAGGCAGGAGCCCCCAGATCCGCCTGGCCCCTCCCGTGCCGGCGCCGGGCTCACCTCCGTGTAGGTGGGCGGCGGCATGAACTTGAATTCGGGCGCGTACATGAAGATGGGGCTGTCGAAGCCGTCGGGGTCGTCCAGCAGGGGCGTGGTGGGGCTCTCCAGGCGGTGATCCTCGGGAACGATGTCCAGGTAGCACGGGGGTGCTGCGGGGATGAAATCAGAGGCTGTGAGCTCACCTAGAACGCTACTGAAGAGCTCCCCCACGCTTTGATCCTTCTCTTCTCTGATCCCACCCTGTGGATCCCACCCCACTCACCCTCTGGAGCATCGGGGAGGTTCAGGTCCACCCAGCTCATCTCGGAACTGGTCTGACTGGCCATGCTGGAGCTGCGGCTGCCGATGCCAGAGCGACTCCCAATGACCAGGGGCAGCTCCAGGATGATTTTCTTGGAGCCTGGCACGCTGACATAAATCTGCAGGAAAACCCAGAATTTAGCAACGTGTCAAACAAAACCCCAAGATGAAGAGGATGCCCAGGAGGAGGAAGATGAAGGCTCACCTGCAGGAAATACTCCACTCTCAGGATGTTGCAGCCCAGGATGGAGGGCTTGAGCTTCTTCACACGGATGGTTTTGCCACGCCAGGACTCCGAGGTGCCGGAGATGATGTGGTTGCCACGAACGCAGGAGAGCTTCTGGCAGAAGACCTTGGTCTGCCCGTTGGCCAGGTAGGTGTGCTTGGCCACGATGGCTGCCTTGGGCACCACGATGCGCGAGCAGGTGTTCTCAAAGTCGGCGTTGATGCAGATCTCATCGCCTGCCAAAGCAATAATCAATATTTTAAGGATGATCAGGGTTTCCTTACTGGTTTCCCACTCCCAGTTCTGTGCTGCCAGCAATGCTCACCTTCACAGAAGCCTTTCCTGTCGATCTGGGCGCTCACAGACACGCGGCCGTCAGGGATGAACATGCACGACACTTTCTTCTCCTTCTTGGCTGCCACTGGAGACTGTGGGGAGAGGGAACAGTCAGACGCTGGCCCCATCCTGTCCTTCCCACCCTCCACCCTTCCTTCCTCCTTTCCTTCCTTCCCTTTTTGCAACCAGCCCTGGAATTCCCCCGGAGTACAGAACAAACCCCACCCAGTGTCACTTTCTGGAATCATCCACAACTCCCTAATCCCACCCTTAAATCCCACTCAACCCAGATCTGATTAAAGACACCTGGGTGTCACTCAACCTCCCCAAGGGATTATTCCCCAAATCCCTTAGAGAGAAAAGGGGCTCACCAGCAGCTCTGGGGTGTTCACATCCACAGGATCCATCACCTCGAAGCGTTTCTTCACCTGCTGCGTGGGGCAGGCTGGACGCTCCAGAGAAGCCTTCACCCAGTAATCCACAGAGCCATACTTGCCCTTGAACGTGGTGCCCAGCGGCCTAGAGACATGCAGGGGGTCACTCCAGGGCCCAAACACGGATTTTCCACTTTAATTCCATCCCCAGAGGGCAGGTGCTGCCTCATACTCACCCCTGGGGCAGCTCGAAGCCGAATTTGTACTCGTATTTGTTGCCGGGTCTCAGGATGACTGACCCGTCCTCATCTGGAAGAAAAAAGGGCAGGGCAACATCAGCTAGAGCTCCAGGGAGATGCTCAGCTCCAAGGGAGTTGCCTAACACCTGTCCACACCCCGGGAACCCCGTGTTCTCTGCCTGCACCTCACCAACGCCCCGGGGCAGGCGTCTCGGCGGCTCCACCCCAGCCCCAGCTCCCCCCTTATCTCCCAGCTCCAGCCCCAGGGTGCGATCCCATGCCCGTCCCCGACCGTGCCACCAATGCTACCAACCCCTGGGGAGTCAAAACATGGCACAAGAGCAGCCCAGGCTCTGATTTTGTTCTTTAGCTCCCGAACTTCGATTTAGTTTGGTCAAAGTTGTAACGTTGCTAAGTTTTTCTAGATTTACTCATTTTGCCAAGCTGCAAGCACAGCATCAACTCTGTGATCAAGGGGCTCCACTGGGATCTAGAGGTACCCCTCTCCCAAACCCCTTACCCCCACTGGGATCTAGGGGGACCCCTCCCAAACCCCTTACCCCCACTGGGTCACTGGGATTTAGGAGTATCCTTCCCAAACCCCTTAGCCCCACTGGGATCTAGGGGTACCCCTCCCAAACCCCTTACCCCCACTGGGATTTAGGGGTACCCCTCTCCCAAACCCCTTACCCCCACTGGGATCTAAGGGTACCCCTCCCAAACCCCTTACCCCCACTGGGATCTAGGGGGACCCCTCCCAAACCCCTTACCCCCACAACCCCCGAGTTGGGGTTTAAAGCCACCCTCGCCCCCCTTGCAGCCCCCTGCTCTCACCCGTGGGCTGCTCCTCCAGCGCCAGCACGTCCTCGAAGCGCAGGTACTCCATCTCCTGCCGGCACTGGGCCGGGCCCTTGGCCCAGGTCACCCTGGCCACGCCACAGGCCAGCACCTTGACGGCGCTGACACGGGTCACCTCGGCCACCTCCACCAGCACACGGCCAGCCACCTTGTCCCCGCTGCAGTAGACTTTGTCGGGCTCGCTGAAGGCCACCATGAAGTTCTTCACTTTCTTGAACATCACCATGGCTGAGGCAGGAGGAGGGCACGGGGTTTGATCAAGCAAGGGCTGCAGGGTAGAGGAATAAAAATCCACCCCAAGCAAAAAAACAAGAACAAAAAGCGGTTGGACGCTTTGTTTAGAGACGCTGCGAAGTCTCCACAGGACGCTCTGCCCCGGGACCTCAGCGCTCTGAGGGAGCCGCTACCGCCGCTGCCTTTTATAGGCTCGGGGGCCCCGCCCACCCCCGCCCGCGCCTGTTGCTGCCGGGGCCGCCACGCTGAGGGCGCGTGGCCAGGCGTGCTGCTCGCGTGATCAGCGCTCCCATTGGCTGCCGCTGCCTTGTTTACGGCAGCACTGACCAATCAGAGCAGCGGCAGGGGAGCGTGGACAGCGTGTGAAGGAAAGCCGCGCGTGTTCAGCGGGGCGGGACGGCCGAGGGCGGAGTGACAGCTCGGGGGGCCAATGGGGGGCGAGGATGGGCGGTGGCTCTGGCCAATGGCGAGCGCGGAACACGATGTCATGTTCCCAGGCTGGGGGGGGCGGGTGTTGTTCCCAGTTTGGGACAGGCCGGGTTGTACTGGGCGGACTGGGAGCGGCCGGGCCGGGCCCTGAGGGACGGGGGAGGCTTCATTTCCTTCCTCAGAATCCCTCTCCCCACCCCCCTGGCTGGGGGCGCCTCCATTGCCCAACTTCACCCCCCCCCGTGAACCTTCCCCTATTAAATGGGGTAAATTAGGGCGGATTTGGGGTCCGGATGGAACTGGGGGGCTCCTCTGGGCAGGGTTTTCCCCTCCCTGCTGCTTCCATCCCCTGGGATCCCCTCAGCTGCTTCTGAGGGGGTCCCTCAGCCCCCCAATGTGGTATTTTTGCCCCCCTCCCTGCACACACTTCCCCTGTTTTTTGGGGTAAATAAGGGCGAGTTTGGGGGTTCAGCAGCAAAACCTGAATTTAGGATTTGGGGATTCTGGGGTTTCAGCAGCAAAACCTGAACGTGGGGGTTCCCTCCCTCTTTCTGGTGCATTTCTGGGAGTGTTTTTTGCTTTCCCCTCTGTCCTGGGGACACTTCCCGTTCCTCCTTCCCCAAATTACCCCTCCCAAACATCCCCCATCCCTCCCACGAGCCTGGCCCTGTCTTCCAGCCGGGATTTGTGCAGCAGGACATTTCTCCTCCCTCCCCAAAACAGATTTTCCTTCCCAAAAACCCCTCAGCTTTCCCTCCCTGCATCAGCGTTACTCCAGAATAAGAATTTATAATTTTTTTTCTCTTTATTTTTGGTGTTTTTCCAGCTCAGGAAGGCGCAGGGAGCAGAGGAAGCAGAACAATGTCCAGAGTGGAAACGGGGCTGGTGTTTTTGTTGGGAGTTGTCCTTCAGGGTTGTTTGTCCCGCTGTTCCTGGCACTTTTCCTGCCCTTCCCCTCGCGGTTAATTCACACCTGATCGTATAAACCGATAAAGCTCGGGATAAACCGTGGGGCATAAACTGCTCTCCTGCCGAGCCACAGGACAGAATTCCTCCTTGGGAGGGGAATTATTGAGGCAAAAACCAGAATTCCTCCTTGAAAAGGGAATTATTGAGACACAGGACAGAATTCCTCCTTGGGAGGGGAATTATTGAGGCAAAAACCAGAATTCCTCCTTGAAAAGGGAATTATTGAGCCCAGAACAGAATTCCTCCTTTGGAATTATTCCTAATTTTGTTGCAGAATGGAGGAATTACACCTTTTTTCCTCTAGTCCCTGTTGTCTCCCAGTGGGAAAAAGGTGGTGGGTTAATGGAGAATTTATATGTTTAATATATTTGAAATATATATATATTTGAAATATATATATATATTTGAAATTATACATTTAATATAATTGAAGTAATAATTATTATAATATTTTATTTAATTATTATAATTATATTTAATTTCATTATTATAATTATATTTATTTTAAATATATTTTCCTATATTTATATTTATTTTTAACATTTTTGGGGGTTTTATTAATTTATTTTATATTTAATTTATTTTATATTGAATTTATTTTATTATTCAATAAAATTATTCTAACTCGGTGAAAGGTGGGGAGCTTTTTCCAGCTTTCCCTGCCGTGGGATATTTGACCCCTGGGATCTGTGAGATCTGACCCCTGTCAGAGCCCTGTTTACGCTCTCCCTCTCCAGTTCCCATCCCTGAGTGCCTTTCCCAGGAAACCATCCCGAGCCACATTCCAGCAGAGCCAAAGGGCCAAAGAACTTGTCGGGAATATGATCCCGGGCACGTTCCACATCCCAAATTTCCTCCCTGAACTCCTCCAGCCCCGTCAGTCAGTGCTGCCCTTTCCCCCCCTGCCCTCCATCCCGAGGCAATCTGGAATTCCCTCGAGGCTCAGCCTTGCTCCAGGAATTCTGGATGGATCTGGGAGGGGGAAAATCAGGATTTTCACTTGTAAAAAAACAATTTTCCCGCTATCAAACCAAGAAAATCAGGTGAGAAATCACCAGCAGGGACAACCTGCTCACACTAAATTTTTATTTAAGGTGTTTCTCCCCCTCCACGCTGATTTCCATGGGTCAGAGGTTCCCCACCTGCATGGATGGGGACAACAGCAGGATCTGCAAATTTTCCTGAAACTCTTAAATAAGGAAGAGAGGTGGCCAGGCCACTGTGAGTGACTCAGCCCTCCATCCCGTGGCAATCTGGAGCTCCCTCGAGGCTCAGCCTTGCTCCAGGAATTCTGGATGGATCTGAGGGGAGGGGGAAAATCAGGATTTTCACTTTTCCAACTTTCCCACTATTAAATCTCCTTCAAAACCAAGAAAATCAGGTGAGGAATCACCAGCAGGGACAACGTGCTGGCACTAAATTTTTATTTAAAGCATTTTTTTTCCATGGGTCAGAGGTTCCCCACCTGCATGGATGGGGAGATCAGCAGAACCCACAATTTTTCCTGGAGCTCTTAAATAAGGAAAAGAGGTCCCAGGCCACTGTGAGTGACTCAGCCTGGGAATCACCCACTTCCAAAGGCACCGGGGCAGAAAACGGGCCCTGGGGTGACTCAGTGCGGGCAGGTCCCGAGGAAGGAGCTGGGCACGGCCCTCCTTGTTTGTGCCAGCACAGCTCTCTGGTGCTGATAAGATCCGTGGTTTATTCTGCTCCAGGTTATCGGCGTTGGTTGCCAGGAGAAGGCACGCTGCTCCTGGGGCAGCCTGGCCTTTGTCCTTGGCTGGACAAAATTCTGCTTTTGTCCAGAAAAGCAGAATTCGGTCGGGGTTGCTGAGGAGGAGGAAGGTTCCAGCAGCCCTGCAGCTTCTCGGGGATGTTTATTCCATATTTCCCACCTTATATGGATCCTTCCAGCACGTTCCAGGCTGGGAAGGGAGGGGAGAGAGGGGCAGGGAGGGAGCCACAGTGGTTGGAGAGCGGGGACAGAGTGTACAGCTGGGAGCTGGGGTGGAAAAGGCATTTCCTCTGCTTGTTTGTGCACGGGGAGCGTTGGGAATAGAGCCCAGCTGGGAGAAAAAAACAACAAAAAAATGGGATTGTGGGACTGGGGTGGCTCCTGGAAAGCAGCTGCTTGTGCCACAATGTGGGAAATAAATTTATAGGCTAAGAGGAAACGCTAAGCCTAGCAGAAAATTCACAAAGAGAAAGCTTAAAATGAGGAATACTGCCTTAGAAATACCATAAAATAAAGCTAAGAATTAAAGTTATTTAGTTATTAAGAAAAAAAAATTAAACTAAAAGGAAGTTTCAAAAAATAAAAGTAAATACTTAAAAAATAGAACTATAAAAATACATTATAATACTTAAAAAATGGTACAATAAAAATACATTATAATACTTAAAAATAAAAGTAAATACTTAAAAAATAGAACTATAAAAATACATTATATACTTAAAAAATAGAACTATAAAAATGCATTATAATAAACCCCACAAACAGTAATTTTAAATGATTAGCTTTAAAGCATTTACAACATAATGTAACTGCAACTAATAAACCAAAAAGCACTTGTAATATATTATAATTAAAAATTAGTTAACTTCTAATTGTAATAGCACAAATTATCACCTCTATTTTGGTAACATTTATTTTTATTCTATTTATTATTTATAACAATTATCTCTATAACATTTCTTTTCAACATCTAATTATAACATCTCTGTTGTCTCACCCTTCTCATAAAACTGAAAAGAAAGTAAAAATTTTTTAAAACACCTCTCAAAGTCAAAAAAAAATTGCCAAAAATTCCCCTTTTTTTGCTGTTTTGTCCCCAACAAAGGCTTTGTGTTGACCCCAGTGTTTGAGGTTCTGCAGGGACAGGGATCAGGATCCCCTTTTCCCCTTCCTTCAGGGCTTGCACAGGAGGATTTTTTCCCCCAAAATCTCATTTTTTCCAGCTCTCACTGGAGACTGGGCTGTGGAGCTCGCCAAGCCTGGCCGTTCTCCATCCATTTGGGATTTCTTCCCCTGTTTTCTGCCCAGAAAGTGATTTTTGGAGCAGGGAGGGGGAGATAAGGTTCCAGAAGAGCTCAGCTGTCCGTAAACAAGGAGGAATTCAGATCCTGGGTCTGCAGAGTCCCGTGTTTGTCATCTGCTCTGGCAGGAGAGGCTGTGACACCACTGAGGGGCTTCCCCCGCTCCGGGCAGAGCCCCTCAGGCAGCAAAAAAATGTGGAATTTTTCCTCCTTTTCCGCAGCTAAAACTGCTCCGAGGCAGCGAGCAAGAGCTGGGAGTGTCAGCTCGGTGAAGAGAAGTGTGGCTTGGAGCCATCTGGTGTCTGGAAGTGTCCCTGCCACGAGAAAGATGATATTGAAGGTGTTTTCCAGCTGAAGAAACCTGGAATTCTGTGATTCCTTGTTGTTTTGGGATGGAAATCCTGGCACTCTGGAGCTCTGTGCTGGACGGCTGGGTTCTGTGGACATCTAGAGGCTTTCCCTGGAATGGCAGAGGATTCTCAATCCATTCATGGATCCATCCATCCATCCATCCATCCATCGAGCATCCATCCATCCGTCATCCATCCATCCATCCATCCATCCATCGAGCATCCATCCATCCGTCATCCATCCATCCATCCATCCATCCATCGAGCATCCATCCATCCGTCATCCATCCATCCATCCATCCATCCATCGAGCATCCATCCATCCGTCATCCATCCATCCATCCATCCATCCATCGAGCATCCATCCATCCGTCATCCATCCATCCATCCATCCATCCATCGAGCATCCATCCATCCGTCATCCATCCATCCATCCATCCATCCATCGAGCATCCATCCATCCGTCATCCATCCATCCATCCATCCATCCATCGAGCATCCATCCATCCGTCATCCATCCATCCATCCATCCATCCATCGAGCATCCATCCATCCGTCATCCATCCATCCATCCATCCATCCATCGAGCATCCATCCATCCGTCATCCATCCATCCATCCATCCATCCATCGAGCATCCATCCATCCGTCATCCATCCATCCATCCATCCATCCATCGAGCATCCATCCATCCGTCATCCATCCATCCATCCATCCATCCATCGAGCATCCATCCATCCGTCATCCATCCATCCATCCATCCATCCATCGAGCATCCATCCATCCGTCATCCATCCATCCATCCATCCATCCATCGAGCATCCATCCATCCGTCATCCATCCATCCATCCATCCATCCATCGAGCATCCATCCATCCGTCATCCATCCATCCATCCATCCATCCATCGAGCATCCATCCATCCGTCATCCATCCATCCATCCATCCATCCATCGAGCATCCATCCATCCGTCATCCATCCATCCATCCATCCATCCATCGAGCATCCATCCATCCGTCATCCATCCATCCATCCATCCATCCATCGAGCATCCATCCATCCGTCATCCATCCATCCATCCATCCATCCATCGTCCATCCATCCATCATCCATCCATCCATCTATCAATCCATCACCTCCTCTGTCACAGGGCCACCACCTCCTCTGGACACCCTGCAGAGTCTCAAACCCGAGCCGTAGCCATGCAGGGGTTCAGCTCAATGTGGAAAACGTGCCAAGCACGGGATGGTCCTGGCCCATTCCCAAATTATTCCACCCTGCTCCTCCTCAGAGCCACACCGAGGCAGGACCAGGCCTCTTCCCCCACCCCAAATCAAGGAGCAGAACGTCGGCGCCAGTCCAAGTTGTTGATGTCAACAAGCTTGTTTCCATTGACGTCAGCGGACTTTGGATCGACCCTTCCCCTCCCTGCTGATGTCACCTGCTCAAAAACATCTCAGCCTCTCCATCCAGCTGGGACAGAGCCCGCTTGGGCTGGTTCAGCCCTGGGTAGCTGGAGCTGAGGGGGTTCAGGGTGGTCTCCCAAGAGGAAGAGGCCTCAGGAGAAGGTTCAGGTTGGATATTTTGGGAATTGTGTTAGTGGGAAGGAGGTCAGACGTTGGAACGGAGCAATGAACCATCATGGACGTGTTCAAAAACAAGTGGATGTGATACCTGGGGTCATGGGTCAGGAGTGGCCTTGGCAGTGCTGCGGGACAGTTAATGATTAATGATCTCAGAAGTTTCTCTGACCTTAATGAGTCCATAATTCGTCAGCCACAGCTCCTCCAGGTTGTAATCCAGTTGTCAGAAGTGTCCACCTTGGGCCACTCCTGGTGTAAGTCTGGCTTGGGTGGAGCTGCTGAGCCTCAAAGCTGGAACCAGAGCTCTCCAAATCAGAATTCCTGGACATTTTCAGTTTGGGAGCTACTCCCTAAATTCCAGAGGTGGCTCCTGAGAAAGGGTTGGCAAGGAAAGCACCAGGCCCAGTCCTGGTGGTGCCGGTGATGTTCAGGAGGAGGGAAGGTCTCGTTCCATTGGGAACCTCCTTTCCCCATGGAATTCTTGTCCAATGGCTCTACAGGCCAACAACTAAGGGACAATTAGGTCCTGCATCATCAAATCCATCCCATTTCCACCAGGAGCTCCAGCACCACCCACGCTGCTCCTGAGGATTTCATCCCTAAAAAGGGATTTATCCCTATGGAGAACATTCTCCCCAAGGTGGATTTTATCCCCCCCCGAGGATTTTATCTCTCCCCAGATGATTTTTTTCCCAAAGGGACACGTCAGGAAGCAGCTTGCTTTCCTTTCCATCCACCCAAAGCTCTGGAGCCAGAGGAGCAAGGGAGGAAGAAGATATTCTTATCCTCATCTGCCACTGCCACCCAAAGACGTGAAGAGACAGATGACAGGAAATGGGCACTCAAAAATAGACCCCTTGAATGTCAAACCCATCAGGGATTACCAGAAGCGGGGTAAAAACCACGGAGCAGGTCTGAGCACCCATCTGAGGGGGAATTCACGAGGAAATCCATGAAATTATTTCCTGTGTATTCTTTGTGCTCTTGGCACGAAAGAGCAAAGAGAGAGAAAAGCCCGTGGATGTATTGAAACATGAATTGTAGAACCTCCCTTGGTGGAGCCTCCGTGCCTGGAGCGGCGGAAATTCCCTTTCCCCCACGTCCACAAGCCCTTCCTGCAATTCTGTGGGACAGGGACGGCCAAGTTTGTAATACTTTATTAAAAATAAAGGAAAGTCTTCCTTAAGGAAAAGATTTCTCCTGTAGAACTCCATCTGCTTTAGTGAAATCCTCAGAAATATGTGAAATTTGCCCTCCCCTGTGCAGTTCTGCACCTTCCACGGGGAAGTGCCCTGCCCGTCTGTGTGCCCAGCTGGCTCTTTGCCATCAGGAATTCTGTTTTTCCAATCAGTCTGGGTTGGATTTCAGCAGCGACAGAGAATCTGGGCCCAAGGGAGAGAATTCCCAAGCGGTGTTTTGTCCTCTCTAAAACCTGACACCGGTCCCAAGTCCAGACCCGGCTAAAATCAGTCCACGACAGGTGCCAAGAAAACAAGGAAAAATAGCAACAGTGGCCTGGGATGTAGGAGGTCCCAAGCTCCACAGCTCCCACTGCTGGAGATCCACTTGTTATTTATCCTGGAAGAGGAACACATGGACAAAACCGGCTGATTTCCACTCAAAAAAACCCAGCTGATTTCTCCCTCTTGGTCACCACGCTCCCCAAAATGATTTGTGGCCTTGCTCTGCTTTGGGAGCAGCTGAAGGAAAAGTCCCAAATCCATTAAAAAGAAAATTATTGCTGAAAATTGGGCTTTGGGCTTTGAGTCCATTATTTCTGGATTTATAGGGCTCCTGAGTGGAATTCTGCTGGATTAGCATGGGGGAAAGGTGGGAAGTGAGTTATGGAAAGGCTCTGAGGGACAGAGGGGCTTTCTAACCCAGGGGGTTTATTTTCCTTTGAGGCACTGTCACATCCTTAGGGGAAAAGGAACGTGTCAGAATGGAACGGAAAAATTTGGATCTGCCTTCCTCACGAGAGGAGCTGGGGGCAGCTTCACCATCCGTGTGAGACCAGTGGGTGCAAACCAGGGGTCACCTTTTCCCTCTCCTGGGTCTCTGAGACACCTCCTTCAAGGTGAGGAACCTCTCCTGGCTGCAGCTTGGAGCCAGCAGCTCTCAAGGGACCACAAGATTCCTGCAGGTACCCCAAGATTCCTCCAGGTACTCCTTGGACCACAAGATTCCTTTGGGAAACCCATGGGCCACAAGATCCTTCCAGATACCTCTTGGACCACAAAATTCCTCCAAGTACCCCAAGATTCTTCCAGGTACCCCTGGAACAGGCAGATTAAAAGTGCAACAAAACAGCCCAAAGTCCACATGGGAGGAGGAAGAGGAGGAGGAGCAACGACGGAGAGCTGAGTTGGCAGCCTCCTCCAGCTTGGAAGATGTGAAGCTTCTCAGCGTCGGGCAGGAAGAGCCGGGCATCCTCCAGCGCCCCGTGCGCTGCCATGGTGAAGTTGACATCCCCCGAGGTGACCACGTCGAAGACGCACGACTGGAAGTAGACATCCTCCACGGGCAGCATCTCCCGGCAGAGCGCTCGCGCCGTCTCCGCGGGGACGCGGCCGCGCCCGCGGGGGCTGCGGGACATGCGCTGGCTGCGGGGGCAACCTCCCACGCACAGCTGCAGGTCCTGCTCCTCTGTGAAGGCCCTGGCCACCTCCTCGGCGGCGCGGATGGAGAAGGAGAGCTGGCGGCCGGCCTGGCGCACGGCGATGGTGGTGCCGATGTAGGCGGCGCGGATCTCCACGTGCCGGCCGGGGCTGCGCTCCCGGATGGCCAAGCTGCTGCCGCCGGGGCGCGCGCCGCCGTTGACGGAGCCGTCCTGGAATGCCGCGGGGACGTTGTCCAGCTCGGCCTGGTAGACCTTCTGGTCGATGCATTCTTTCATGTTCTTGAAGATGATGGTCAGCTGTGGGGAGTGGAGCGGGAGGAGGATGAGTGTGGCGGTTGTGGTGCCATCCCAGGTGTTTGGGGTATCGCAGGATGGAGGTCCCACCTCACCTATCTGTCCTTAAACCTTCCCTGCCACAGTCCTTTGGGGATAACTACAATCTTTCCTTCTTTTTTTAACACCATTTAAGCAAAACTCAGGTGGAGCCAAACCTAGCAAGATTCTTTTGGGAACCCCATGGGCCACAAGATCCCTCCAGGTACCCCTTGGACCACAAGACTCCTCCAAGTACTCCAAGGTTCTTCCAGGTACCCCTTGGACCACAAGATTCCTCCAGGTACCCCATGGACCACAAGATTCCTCCAGGTACCCCAAGGTTCCTTCAGGTACCCCTTGGACCACAAGATTCCTCCAAGAACCCCATGGACCACACGATTCCTCCAGGTACCCCATGGGCCACAAGATTCCTCCGGGAACCCCATGGGCCACAAGATCCCTTCAGGTACCCCAAGGTTCCTCCAGGAACCCCATGGACCACAAAATTCCTCCAAGTACCCCAAGATTCCTCCAGGTACCCCTTGGACCACAAGATTCCTTCGGGTACCCCTTGGAGCACACAGTCACCTGACAGCAGCAGGAGTGTTTGAGGGTCCCCTCAAGAACCTTCACCACTGTTGTCCCTCCTTCCTCATCCCCCTGGGTTTTCCAAGGATTTTGGGAAGCACAGGAGGTGCCCTGCCCCTGGATTTGCCGCCCATCCCGTGCGCTACCGTTACCTTGCTGGTGACCGTAGCGTTGGACCCCTTGGCCACCGGCGAGCTGGTGGCCTGCACAAACAGGTACTCGTTGTCCAGCAGCGGCCAGGAGCCCTCCACGCGGCACGTGTGGAAGTCGTGGTGGAACGTTCGGATGTGGGGGTCCCCAAAAGCGGCGCAGTGCTGGAAGCCGGGCGGCCGGCCGTGCTTGTAGAGGAAGCTCCTCTCGTAGTCGCAGACGTCGAGCGCCTCGAAGCCGTGCGGGTTGGGCGCCGCGGGCCGCGGCGGGGCCGTGGGGCCTTCCTTGGAGCAGTTGTGGTGGATCATGAGGTCCTCGATGCCGTGCACGGCCGAGTGGAAGGCCAGGTCGCCGCGGCAGGTGCGGGCGGTGCGCCGCGCGCACAGCGAGTAGGAGCGCAGCGCGCTGCAGAACGCGGCACCGCGCTCGGGCCCGTGCAGCTGCAGCGTGGCCGCCACGTACTCCGAGTTGCAGCGGAGGATCTTGCACTGGGAGGAGACTGGGAGAGGAGAGTGGTTAAAAGTAGATATTTTCACCCCCGATGACTCCATAAGTCTAATTGATTTTTATTTTTATTGTACTATATTATTTTATATTATATTTAATCTAATATATATTATTTAATATAAATATTAATATATATTATTTAATATATATTATTATAGATATTATAATCTTTTATATTATATTTACATTACAAACCAAAATTAATATATATTATTTAAGATATATTATTATATTATATATATAGTATATTATTTTATATCATGTTTACATTACATCCAAACCAAAATTAATATATATTATTATATTCTATATATATTATATTATTTTATATTATGTTTACATTACATCCAAACCAAAATTAATATATATTATTATGTCATGTTCCCATAACAATCTATATATATTATATTATTTTATATTTACATTACATCCAAGCCACCATCACTTTGGGTAAACAATCTCCGTATTGCATTCTACTTTTGCACAAACACAGGCACAGCAAATGAGATAAGAATTTTTTTTCTTTCTTGGATGTTCAGAGAATATGAAACCCAGAAATAGTCTGGGGAAGGATTGTGCCTTGCTTTTCTCTGTGAAGAGGAATGTGGCGACATGAGGAAGGGCAGCCTGTCCTCCCCCCGCCACCCCCCAGCATCCAGCTCCAGATTCCCCTGGAGATTCCTCCTGGAAGAGATTTCCTCCTGATTTTTACAGGGAACAGCTCTGCCCCGTGGATCCTTACCATGCCTGCAGAGGAAGAGGAGCAGGAAAGCTGGGAGGAAGAGGCCGGGGGTTTCCAGCTGCCCTGGGCTCCTACTGCGGGCAGCTCTCCCCATTCCCATCCATGCAGAGCTCGGGGGTCTCTCACCCACCAGCAGCTCCCGGCTTCATCCGGCCGCTCCCCTGGAAGCAGAGGTGGGACACGGGACTGAGAGGGGTCCTGCAGCTCCAGCACCTCAACCCTGCACCTCCCAGGCCACCACTTGTCCCCAGTGGCACATCCACAGGGCTTTGGACACTTCCAGGGATGTGGCTCCAGCTGGGCAGCCCCTGCCACGCCTTGAGCACCCTTTGCGTGAGGAAATTTCCCCTGATAGAGGAAATTTCCCCTGAGATCCAACCTCAACCCCCCCGGTGCTGCTGGAGCTGTTTCCTCACAGGGGTGGGCGTTGAGCATGTCACTCCACCCTCACTTTGGGGACACCACCCGTGGGATCAGAGCCTGAAGCACCCCTGGGTGCCAACAACATCCTTGCACCCTCATTCCTGCTTTCCTCACCTGTATCAGCCTCTCCAGGGAGCTCCTTCCCTGCGGGACACACGGACGTCCTTGTCACGAGCTCTGCCCCAAGTGACAGCCACAGAGAGCCGTGGCATGACCCAGGAAAACTCCAGCCCCCCTGGGCTGCTCCTGCAGCTGGGTAAATGTGGGGGTCCCACGAGCCCGGGGGAAAAGGACGAAGCCCCCCGTGGCTCCTCGTCCCTGGGCACCTCTGCTCTGTCCTTTCCCCCCGCGGGGCAGAGGCGGGGGTTGAAATCGATCCCTCTAAATTTAGCTGGGCTCTGATCCAGCCGGGAGCAGCAGCCAGAGCCTGGAGAAGGTGGGGCACAGGGGTTCCAGGAGGAGTGTGGGGTCGTGGGAGCTTCCCTGGGTTTTTCCTGCTTGGAAACCCCTGTGGGCACCACCCAGGAGTGGAAAAGCTTTTCCCTGTGGGAAGTGTCCGGCAGGGAATGGGATGTTCCCTGACAGGAGAACACTTTTCCAGCACAGCCAAGTCCTGAACGCAAACACGGCACGGGCCAAAGTTGGCCAATGTCCCCAGGGATCGATGGCCAGTGTCCCCAGGGCTGGTGGCCAATGTCCCCAGGGCTGGTGGCCAGTGTCCCCAGGGATCAATGACTGCCAGACCACGCTGGCTGCACTCCTGAGATCCCACCTGCACGGGTGCAGGAAGCAGCTGCACCCTGCAAGGAGAAGGAATGGTCAGGAATGTCCCAAATTGGGATTTTTCTGTTCCATTCCAGAGGCCGTGGAGGAGCACCGGGGTGGGAAGTTGGTCCCTCAGCATTCCAGCACCCAAAAATCCCTTTGGGAACACACTCAGGAAATCTTCCTGTGTCCTAAACCAAGTTCCTGCTGTTTTCCACCTGCAGGGAGCAAATCCTGGTGCCCAACCTATCCCAAAAGAGCACTGGGACTGGGGTGGGAAGATAATATTTGGGGAAATCAGCCACAGAGCTGGAAAAGTGGATCCCTCTTCTTTCCAGGTTGCACAATCAATCCCAAAGGATGCACTCTTCCTTCCATGCCATGCTTGGAAGGAAATAAATCCCCTCCCTCCAGAAATAAAGGAAATAAATCCTATTCCTCCAGAAATAAAGGAAATAAATCCCATCCCTCCAGAAATAAAGGAAATAAATCCTATTCCTCCAGAAATAAAGGAAATAAACCCCATCCCTCAAAAATAAAGGAAATAAATCTTATCCCTCCAGAAATAAAGGAAATAAACCCTGTCCCTCCAGAAATAAAGGAAATTAACCCCGTCCCTCCAGAAATAAAGGAAATAAACCCTGTCCCTCCAGAAATAAAGGAAATTAACCCCGTCCCTCCAGAAATAAAGGAAATAAACCCCATCCCTCCAGAAATAAAGGAAATAAACCCCATCCCAAGCACAAATCCCATCCACCCACACCTCTTCCAAGGATCCCAGCACTCCACTTACCCCAGAAAATGCCAGATTTGGGTGGGCACCAAACCCCCCTGGAACCTGCAGAGGAAAATCCTGGTCCCTGCTCGGGCTGGGGATGGGGATGGGGAGGGAATCCCGGCTGTTGCCAGCCAGGCTCGGAGCAGAGGGAGGAAAAAACAGCTGAAGATTCTGACGGGAGCTGGGTGGGCTCCGACAGCAATTTAAAAATAGCCAGGGGGGATTTTTGATCCCAAAAGGCAAATTCCAGTGGGGAGGGGAAGGGAGAAGGGCGAGGTGGGCATGGGGTGCACCCGAGCTGCCCATCCTGAGGGATCTCCGGGTTTTATGGGATTTCTGTGCGCCAGAGGGGAGTTTGGGAAGAGGATCCGTGTTCACCCCTGGAAGATTTCCTACCGAGAAAGAAAAAAAGGGTAAATTAGAGAAACCTGTTGCAATAAACCCTTTTTTGGTCTCTCATGAGCAATGAGTAAAGTGGAAATTTATGAGTTTTGTAAGAGTGGATAAAAAGCATAAATAGAATTTAAAAGGTTTGAAGCCTCCTGAAAATGGAGAGTTGCTTCGTGTTGTCTCCATCGCAACTACAACAAAGATTTGGGGATTTGGGAAAAAGGTTTTATGGTGATTTCTGTGAGCCACAAAGTTTGAGAAGAGGATCCATGCCACGAGGTGGCAGCAGGACTGGCAGGACCCCTCTGCCTTTTCTTACCGCTTCCCGTGTACAAAAAAAAATTAAAAAGAAGGAAAAAAAGGACCAAAAAAACCCTCTTCTTTTAGTTTTTAGGGAATGTCATAAGGGCGAACTTGGAAGATGAAGGTGAACCTGGAAAATTAAGGATGAACTGGGAAAAATCAGGATGAAATAAGGAAAAGAATAGGAAAAAATGAGGAGAGATAAAAATATGAGAGTGACTCTGGAAAATATGAAGGCAATGATGGGTGAATACGGAAAAATCAGGATAAAAGTAGGACAATCAGGATGAACCGGGAAAAATCAGGAAGAAATTAGGAAAATAATAAGAAAAAAAATGAGGAGAAATAAAAAAATGAGAGTGAATCTGGAAAATATGAAGGTGATGATGGAAAAATAGGGGTGAGTATGGAAAAATCAGGATAAAAGCAGGAAAATCAGGATGAACCTGGAAAAATTGGGGCACTGTCTGGTGAGAACCCCAAAATTCAGCTCCTGTTTGGAAATCGTGTCCCCACCGTGTCCCCAAGCACACCTGGCCCCGCCCCACATATCACTCTCCACCCATTTAACCATATAAGGATAAAAAGGCGTGGTCTGCGCGTAGGGGGCGGGGCTGACTGGGGATGGGCGGGGTTACGCGGTGCACGTGACGGCGGCGTCACGCGGCGGCGGCGATCCCGAGCGGAGCGGGCGGTGAGGGCCGGGAGGGCACCGGGAGGGCACCGGGGGCACCGGGAGGGTCCCGAGGGCTTTGGGAGCTCGGGCAGCACCTGCTGGTGCCCGGGGGTGTCCTGTGGGAGGGTCGCGGGGCACAGGCGGGCTCTGAGGGGGGGGTCAGGCCCTTCCCGAGAGCTCCGGGCCCAGCAGGGCCTCACCCCAGACCCGCCGCCCCCAGCACCCCCTTATTCCACATTCCACCCCCTCCAGCACCCCCTTATTCCCTATTCCACCCTCAGCATCCCGTTATTCCTCATTCCAGCCCCCCTCATTCCTCCTACCACTGCCCCCAGCCCCCCCTTATTCCCCTTCCACCGCTCCCAGCACCCCCTTATTCCCTATTTCACCCCCTCCAGCACCCCCTTATTCCCTGTTCCACCCTTAGCACCCTGTTATTCCTCATTCCAGCCCCCCTTATTCCCCATTCCATCCCCCACAGCACCCCCTTGTTTTACCCTTCTCCTCTCCTGGGGTCTGGGGGGGTCCTCCTGTACCCCCAAATCCCTCCTCTCGCTTGCAGCCCTTCTCCTTTCCTGGGGGCTGAGGGGGGTCTCTCCTTGCACCCCCAAATCCCACAGCCCTTCCCCAACGCTGGGTCCTCTCCTGGGGGGTTTCTCCCGCTGCACCCCCCAAATCCCACAGCCCTTCCCCAATTCTGGGTCCATTCCTGGGGGGGGTTTATCCCCCTAATCCCCCCTGTCTCTTGCAGCCCTTCTCGGATGCGGGGTCCATTCCTGGGGGGGGTTTCTCCCCCTAATCCCCCCTGTCTCTTGCAGCCCTTCTCGGATGCGGGGTCCCCTCCTTGCGGCCGCCCGGGGAGCCATGGGGGGCACGGGCGGTCCCCTGGCCCGCACCATCCGTGCCAAGCTGACTGCAGCCCTCCAGCCCACCCACCTGGAGATCCGGGACGACTCCCCCCGGCACGGGGGCCCCCCCGGAGCCGAGACCCACTTCGGGGTGCTGGTGGTGAGCGGGCGCTTCGCGGGGCTGCCGCCGCTGCAGCGGCACCGCCTGGTGCACGAGGCGCTGCGGGCCGAGCTGGCCGGGCCCCTGCACGCCCTGCAGCTCACCGCCCGCACCCCCGAGCAGTGGCACAGCGACCCCCAGAACCCCCCCGCGCCCCCCTGCCTGGGCGGCTCCAAGAGGGAGAAGCGCCGCGGGGCCGGCGAGGAGGAGGAGGAGGAGGAGGCGGGGAAGCAGTGACGGCGCTGGGGGAGCGCCGGGGGCAGCTGGAGCCCCCCAGGAACAACGGGACACCCTCAAGAACAGCATGGGGCTCATGGAAACCCCCCCAAGAACAATGTGGGGCTCCTGGGACCCCCCCAGGAACAACGGGACACCCTCAAGAACCCCCCCCAGGAACAGCGTGGGGCTCCTGGGACCCCCCCCCAGGAGCAGCATGGGGGTCATGGGAGCCCCCCAGGAGCAACGGGACACCCCAAGAACAGCGTGGGGCTCCTGGGGACCCCCCCCAGGAACCGTGTGGGGCTGCCAGGACCCCCCCAGGAACAACAGGACCTCCTCAAGAACCTTGTGGGGCTGCCAGGACCCCCCCCAGGATCAATGTGGGGCTGCCAGGAGCCCCCCAAGAACAACAGGACCCCCCAGGAACAGCATGGGGCTCACAGGACCCCCCCAGGAACCTTGTGGGGCTGCCAGGAGCCCCCCAAGAACAACAGGACCCCCCAGGAACAGCATGGGGCTCACAGGACCCCCCCAGGAACCTTGTGGGGCTGCCAGGAGCCCCCCAGGAACCACAGGACCCCCTCAGGAACCCTGTGCAGCTCATGGGAACCCCCCCAGGAACAGCATGGGGCTCACGGGACCCCCACCCTGGTGTTTGGGAGGGGACAAAAGTAATGGGGGTGACCCCCCCACACCCCATAGCACCCCCAAGCTGGACCCAGCCCCTCCCTGCTCCCACCCTGCTGTGGATTTTTGGGGTGTCCCTCCCGTTGCACCTGAATTAATTTAAATAAATGTTTTCTGTGGGCAGCTGGGGCTGGAGAATCCTTTTTTTTTTTGCAGGGGGGGATTGGCAATTCTTTTCTGGTTTGTTTTTTTTTTTTTTGGGTTTTTTTTTTCCCCAAAAATTGGGGCGTCCTGGGGGGGAAAGGGGGGGAGCATGTGCTTTATAAGAGGGGGTACCCTAAAATTGTCAAGGGGATTCTGTACCCCAGCACCCCAATATTCTCTGCTCCCCCACCCCCAGGCATTGCTGAGGCACCCCAAGGGCTCTTGGCACCCCCAGATGCCCCCCCAAAAAAATGCATGGGGGATCCTGCTGGTTGCCCTCCACAGGGATGGGGAAACTGAGGCACAGGGGGGCATCCCCCCCCATAATACACTTCATCCTCCTGCTCCTCGGCTCAGCAGGGATTTGGGGGGTGCACAGAGGTGTGGGGGTTCAGAGGGCCAGGCCCCCCCCTCAATCCTGTCCCACAGCCCCCCAGGAATGAGCAGCACACAGGGGGTGACACCAAGAAAAGAAACTGGGGGGGGGAGAATTGGAGGTTTGAGGAGGGGTCAGGGGGAATTTCGGGGGGGAGCTGGAGGTATCAGGGAAATTTTAGGGGTACAGGGTGATTTTTTTTTTGGGGTGGGGGGGTCCAAGTGCAAATGAAAAAGATCCCAAATGCTCCAAGACATTTCACAGTGTCTAACGCGACTAATCCCAGGGGCACGAGGAGAGAGGGAGGAGTGGGGGGGGCAAAACGCTGGATTTGGGGGGCACCCCGCGCAAGGGGGGGGTCCCTCTCCCCCAGCCCCCCATCACTGCAGGACCTGCCCCCTTGTCTCGGGCAGTTTGAGGGCCAGGGAGCTGCCGAGGGCCAGAGCAGCCGAGGCGAACAGGATGGGCACGGCCTTGGTGATGCCCACGAAGGAGGTGAAGATGCTGATGCCCAGCACGGCTGCCAGCTTGCACAGAGCGTTCAGGAAACCGAACGCCGTCGTCCTGGGGAGGGTGAGGAGGGGTGGGGTTGGTGGGGGGCACCACCCGGGGGTAGGGTTGGGTGCCCAGCCTCGTGGGCACCTGCAGAGGGCAGGTGGCACCCTGAAATTGGCGCCTGGAAGGCTGAAATGGGCACCCAGGACTCCAAAGTGGGAAGTGAAAACCCTTAGATTGGCACCCAGCACCCCAAAATTCAAATTCCAAACCCTGAAATGGGCATCCAGCACCCCAAAATGGGAACTCCAAACCCTGAAATGGGCATCCAGCACCCCAAAATGGGAAGTGAAAACCCTTAGACTGGCATCCAGCATCCCAAAATTGGAACTCCAAACCCTTAAATTGGCATCCAGCACCCCAAAATGGGAGCTTCAAACCCTGAAATGGGCACCCCAAAAAAGGAACTCAAAGCCCTGAAATGGGCACCCAGCACCCCAAAATGGGAGCTCCAAACCCTGAAATGGGCACCCAGCACCCCAAAACTGGAACTCCAAACCCTTAGACTGACATCCAGCACCCCAAAAAGGGAACTCAAAGCCCTTAAATGAGCACCCAGCTCCTCAAAATTGGAGCTCCAAACCCTTAAATGGGCATCCCAGCACCCCAAAATGGGAACTCCAAACCCTTAAATGGGCACCCCAGCACCCCAAAACTTCACTCCTTGCACCAAAACCTCCCACCCAGCACCCAAAACTTCACTTCTTCCACCCAAAACTTCACTTCTTCCGCCCAAAACTCCACTCCTTCCACCCAAAACTTCACTCCTTGCCCCCCAAACGTCACTCCTTTCACCCAAAACCTCACTCCTTGCCCCCAAAATCTCCGTGCCAGGCCCCCACCTCTTGTCAGAGGGGTACAGCTCCACGGTGAGCACGTCGAGCGCGTTCCAGGAGGCGATGCTGACCCCCCCAAAGAGGCAGAGCAGGGCGATCATGGCAGACTCGCTGTTCCCAAAGGACAGGAAGAAGCAGCTGATGCAGGACATGACGCTGGAGCCGGCTGCAGGACACGTGGACATGTCAGAGCACGGGGAAACTGAGGCACGAAGCGGGGCTGGGTGGGGCTGACAGTCCCAAAAGGGAGAGGGAGGTGGGGGTGACCCCAAAAGGTCACCAGAGATGGAGGTGGGAGGAGGATCAGGAAAGTTCCCAAAAGGGTGGTGGAGGTGGGGTGACCAACAGGATGAAGGTGATGGTGGTGGGTCAAGGAATGGGGTGACCCACCAGGAGGTCCCCAAAAGGTCACCAGAGATGGAGGTGGGAGGAGGATCAGGAAAGTCCCCAAAGGGTAAAGGTGAGGGTGGTGGGTCAAGAGATGGGTGTGACCCACCAGAGGTCCCCAAGAGGTCACCAGAGATGGAGGTGACCAACGGGTGGGAGGAGGATCAGGAAAGTCCCCAAAAGGGTGGTGGAGGTGGGGTGACCAACAGGGTGAAGGTGTTGGTGGTGGGTCAAGAAGATCAAGAGCCTGGTTTGGGCTGGAAACTTCTCCAGGACCCCCCAGCCCCACCAAGGCCGTCCCGTTGCCCACCCAGCATGCGCAGGCGGCCAATCTTGTCCATGAGCAGGGCCGAGACGATGTTCCCAGGGAGCACAGCCAGGGTGCCCAGGAAGCTGACGAAGTAGATCATGTAGGCGTTGTTGTCGTCGCTGAAGTCCAGCTGGCAGCCCTCCTTGTTGTGCAGGAACGTGCTGTTCACCACCCGGCTGTTGATGAACTTGTACTCGAACAGATCTGGGGGGACAGTGGCCCACGGGGTCACCCCATCTCCGTGCACACCTGTCTGGCCTCTCCCACCTCACCTGGTGGGTCAACCACACCTCCATCACCCCCCTGGGGACCACCCTGCTCCTTATCTCCACCACCCCAACTCCATCATGCCACTGGGGACCTTCCTCCAAGCTGATGGCCCACCCCCATCTCCATCAAAACCCTGGTGGGTCACATTATCTCGACCACCCCAACTCCATCATGCCCCTGAGGACTTTCCTGACCTTCCTCCAAGCTGGTGGCTCACCCCCATCTCCCTCAAAACTGGGGGCCACCCTGCTGGGTCACCCCCTCCCGGGGATCCCATTCCCCCACCTGTGTTGTAGAAGACGGTGGAGATGAAGGTGCAGTTCTTGAAGAAGGTGTTGCTGGAAGTGATGTCCTCGAAGTAACACTCCTCGAAGAGCGAGTCCTCGAACGTCACCGACTTCATCTTCAGCCCGATGAACCTGCACGGGGGGACAGGAGGGAGACCCCCGATGCCCCCCACCCCTGTGCTGGGCAGCTCAGCGACCCCAGGCTCAGCCTCCCCTCACTCACTTGTCGTTGAAGTACTCCCCACCACGGTGCACCTGGTTCTCCAGGGTGAAGTTGAAGGTGAAGTGCCGCACCTTCTCGCGCGTGAAGAGCTTCGTGCGCGACGCGTACTCGATGCTCTGCAGGTGCTTGATCATGTCCGGGAACCACACGGTGAGCCCGTAGTAGCTGCGGGGACAGGGGTGAGCAGGCACCACACAGCTGGGCTCGCCAGCTCTGGCCCGGGGCTCCCAGAACCAGCCCTGAGCTCCCAGTGCCATCCCCGTGATGCTGGTTCCATCCCATCCCACTGCCCAATCCCATCTCGTTGATTACATTAATCCCACCACGCTGATCCCAGTGCCATCCCATTGATCCCATTAACCCCATCCCACTGATCCTATCCCATCCCATGCCATCCCATTGATCCCATCCCATCCCATCAATCCCATCCCATCCCATCCCATCCCATCGATCCCATCCCATGCATCCCATCCCGCCCCGCAGCACCTGAAGGACATGGTGAACCACACTGCCATCATCATCAGCGTCACCCGCCGGTACTCGGGCACGAAGCACTGCTGGAAGTTGCTCCAGACCTGCAGAGGCACACGGGAGGTGACAAGGGCCCGGCAGGTGACAGGGGGCGCAGGGGGCCCTGGGTGGCCCCGGCCTCACCTGCTGGGACAGGTTGAGGCATCGGACCAGCCAGCGCCGGTACCACGTCCCGGTGTCCGACTGGATCTCGATGAGCTCGTCCTCCCGCTTGATGGTCTTGATGTGGGTGACCTGTGGGTGGGACAGTCTGGGGACACCAGGAAGCACCGCCTTGTGCCTCAGTTTCCCCACCTGTTACAGCAGCATTCCCCTGGTGGTGCTTTTCCCACAGGTGGGAATTGCACCCCTGCTCCTGGAGGACATCCCACCCTTGCTTGGGGTGCTGGGGACCCCAAGGCTCAGCCCTGGGGGGTCCTTACCGAGAAGACCCTCTCGGGGTGGCCCTTGGCCCTCATGTTGGTGTCATGGACCTGCTTCAGCACCATCCAGGCCTCGTCGTGCTTCCCGTTCTGCGAGGGCAGGGACAGGTCACCCTGGGACACCCCAAACTGGACCCTGACCCCCCATCAGCGGTTCCTGCCTGGGTTCCACCACCCACCCGGCGATCCCTCCCCCATCTTCATCACCTCCTCAGGGTCCCCCCATCCCTCGGGGTCCCATCACCCTCTTGGGGGGTTCCTGCCCAGTCCCACCCCTCTCCAAAACCCATCTGGGGCTTCCTGTCCAGACCTCACCACCCCCTGTCTGGGTTGCCCCATCTCCACCCCGACCTGGGCGTCCCTTCCTGGGGACTCTCAAGGCACCCCTGACTCCAGGACCCTGATGCCCCCCAGACCCCACCTCCAGGTAGAAGCGTGGGCTCTCCGGCATGGTGGTGAGCGCCCCGATGGCGAAGACCGAGGGGAAGGCGCAGACGAGGACAAAAACCCTCCAGCTGTGGAATTGGTACGCGGAGCCCATCTGGAAGCTCCAGCCTGGACAGGGACAGGACAGGGCGGTGGGGCCGAGCCCCGGCGCACGCCCTGCGTACCACCAGCCCAGGGCTCCTACCGTAGTGGGGGATGATGGCCCAGGCCATGGCGGACGCGTAGATGCCCCCGATCATCCAGAACATGCAGAGCCAGCTCAGGTGCTCCCCGCGCTTCTCCTGCGCCAGGAACTCCGAGAAGTAGGAGAAGACGATGGGGATGGAGCCGCCGAT